CTAGCATAGATGACAAAATCTCACATTAGATCTTTGGGACTAAGATGGAAAAGTATGGGTTCTCTCGTGGCTATGATTATCAGAAAAGGATTCCCACAAGATCTGAGCTGAAGCTTGAGGGATGACCTGAGCCCAGAGACTGGGGATGAGGCCGTCCTGGGCAAACACACAGCAATGGGGAAAACTGTAATGCACTTGAAGGAAAGAGTCCAATTTGACTAGAGCTTGTAGCATTCAAGGAGAAGAGTCAGATAAGCCTAAAAAAGGTTGGAACTAGGTTGTGAAGAGTTTTTAATAGCACGTGATCTCCACTTTAGCCAGTGGGGAATGGGAAACTTTAACCAACCTGGGGCCCACAAACTTGTTTTTCAATATTTTGATAACTGTATTTCGACATAGTTGATTTCCTTTGCTTAAAATAATAAAAAAGACAAAAGAAAAGTGTGGGTTAAATGACCACACAATTGGGTGGCTTCCTAGCAGGTTGATCTGTTAACATGGTCATTCTCTTGTGGCACCCCCCAGGGTCCTGGGCTGGGAAGCCCAACATCAACACTGCTGAGACGATCTGCTTATTCGACTTACGTCCAGCATATCTGGAAAGCTACTTTCACACTGACATCGATGTAAGATTGCTGTCAGTAGAAGTGTTAATGCAGAGGCGAAATGACCACCTGTCAGGATGCTGCCGAGGATTCCCCTGTGGAGTAGGTCACACTGGAGGATCTCTAAAGCCTCTTCCGACTCCAGGATTTTACACATAGTGCCAAATGAGTGGCAAATAGTGCTAACTGAGTGGCATGATGAGTGCAACAGAAGCCAGAGTGGCTGGGCAAGGGGTGGGGAAAGAAATAGCTGCAGGGCTGGCAGTCTGTACTCAGGCCAAAGGAGCCTTAGTTCTGACTCCACCCCCTCCCAACCCCCACCAGAGTCACAGCCTCCCATTTCTTCCACTGAATTCCAATGAATTTGGATTTAGAGTCCAAAAGCCTGAGTTGGAGGTGACATGAAGCCTGTAAATGGCAAAAGCTGGGATTTGAAGAAATCACTTACACTTCTCAACCAGTTTCTCCATCTGTAAAATGGGGACAATTTGCACTGCTTTCCCCGCTCTAAGGAAAGCATTATTTAAGTATATATACAAATGTAATCTATTATTGTACATCAGAACACCCACAGGATCTATCTATTTCTTACCCAGGTGGCTGGAAGCATTAAGACTCCTCACTTCCAGCTACAGCTTATCCAAGACCTCCTAGAGAAATGACTTGGCTCCTCCCTTGGGGGTTAAGACTATGGGATTATTAGGGCAAGATTTATTACTTTTTTTCTGGTGACACAATTGGGGTTAAGTGACTTGCCCAGAGTCACACAGCTAGTAAGTGTTATGTGTCTGAGGCCGCATTTGAACTCAGGGTCTCCTGACTCCAAGGCTGGAGCTCTGTCCACTGTGCCACCTAGCTGCCCCTAGGGCAAGATTTAGAACTCCTTGGTTCTCTAACTCTACCCTAGAGGTACTAATTTACTGGAACTCTCTGAGCTTCATTTCTTCAAAACACAAGGAAGAAGACATGAGGAAACATCCCTTTTGGCACTTGGAATTCTGGGATGATAGGAATGGGTCTAGGAATTCCCATTAGTGAATACAGCCCTGCTGACTCAACCAGGGATACTGTGATAAGCCAGGCTCTGACTACACCTTTTGTTCTTACCTCAGTAGGTCCACACACTGTCTAGGAAGAGCCCACTCCCAATGAGTTCCTACTTTCAGAACTTCAGAATTGCAGGGCTGGAAAGGCCCTTTGAGGTCACCCAATCCCTTTTGAGTAACTTAAGTGGTTACTAAAGAGTCGCTACTTTAACTTCTGGAGTCATGGCAAACTTGCTACCTCATAGCTCATTTCAATTTTTTTTTTTAAGCAATAGATAGGAAGTTCCAAACTAATATCCATCTCCCCATGACTTCTACCTACTCCATCCTAGCTTTGACCTCTGAAAAATAACCTATCCTTCTATAGCACATCCTTTGGACCCCACAACTCTATGAAATAGGCACCACAAGTAGCATTAGTCCCATTTTACAGATTAAGATCTTGAGGCTTGGCCACGCTTACAGAGTTACCAAGTTATTAGAGACAGGATTTAAAGCTAGGTCTTAAGTCCAGAGCTCTCCTTAACAGGACAGCCCTTCAGATGTTTGCAAACCATTATATACCATTAGATTATAAGCTCCTTGAGGGAAGGTAGTGTCTTTTGCCTACTTTTGTATCCCCCCCCAACTTAGCACGCTACCTGGCACACAGTAGGCACTTAATAAATGTTTACTGACTTGAATATCTTGCCAATAATTTGTCTTTCCTTTTTTCCTTTCCAAGATGCTTCTCTGTGTAATATCCTGTTCCCCTCAAGTCTTTCACATTTGCCAAGTTAAACATCCATGTGAAAGTTTACCAAGAGTCCTTTTCTACCGCCCCATAGCACTGTTGTGTAGGTGGCCCCTCTATTACTGTATTCCAGTTGTAGGTCTCAGAAACACAAAGTTCATTATCTGTCATCTTGTCCAAAGACCAAGCTCATTTTGCTCCCCCTGAACAATGATTCAGATGCGTGTGTCAGTCCTGAACTCCCAGTTATGTTCTTCTGAGAACTACTGGGCATTTCTCTGTTCTACTGTAGTCACCTACTGTAGTAGATGTTCCTAACATCTAGATTTATCATTTAAAGTAAAAAAAAAGGGGGGGAGAAACCCAGACGTGAAGAATCTTGATCAAATCAACAAGTCTCCAGCCAAAGAACTCTGCCTAGTCCATGTGAAAAACATTCTGTCCCTAGACAAGAGGTTATCATTCTATTACCTGGCTTAAACCATGGTCTTGAATAATAAATCCTGATAGCATCTAAATATCTAGTCATCTATTTTCCTTATCATCTTCTCACTTACAAAGCCACCACTCTCAAAAGAAATGAGATGAAAGCATCACTTATGCCTATGTGCCTCCCCCCTCCCCCAATCCCTGAAGTCCTTTAGTTAGCTGTGCAGAAGTTCTTTATTCTTGGAGATCCTTTCAGGTTTCTTTTGATTGTATTACCTATTCCCTCATAAATCAGTGGAAATGGGGAGTAGGCCAGCTGGTGGGGTAAATCTCTGCAGGCTCTCTGTCACATCTTGGATACATTTACCAAGATGAGAGTCTGATTTCCAACTGGTCGTATCAGGCCCACACAATTACAGCAGGGGAGTCACAGGGACAGCTCTTCTAGCTGGTATCAGTGATGGGATTCCTCCCACTTGGTAGTGTCTGTGAAGCCTCTCCCTTATGCCATGGAGCATTGTCTCTTTTTCCTGAGAGGGTCCAGATCTAAGCTCTATGGGAAAAGCCTCCCTAGTTTTGGGAGTTTATTTCTTCACCTCCTCCCTGTACATTCTTCTGCTCCAGACTCTTGGCTTTGATTTCTATCCAGCCCCTTTCTCCACCCCACACTTTGTTCCTAAATGATTTCTTCATCCTATCTACTCAGCCAACTAGCATTTCAAGTGCCCGCTACATGGCAGCCACTGGAAAGTCAAAGACAAAACTTCAAGTAGCTTATGTTCTAATGAGGAGGGAAGACAACACATAAACAGAAAAATATCCAAATATACGCAAGGAAAAAATGATTTCTGGAGAGAATGTAGAACATGGATGAAGAAGTCAAAATTTGATGAGTCAGAGGTGAAGAGGAAGTATATTTTGGGCAAGCATGTCAGCCTAAGCAAAGGCAAGCAATGGAAGACAGAATGTCACGTACGGGAAAAAGCTAATTTGGGCTAATTTGGCTAGACCATAGAGAACATGAAGCATGGGCCAGAGGCTCGATTAGTACAGGCTTTTACATGCCCAAGACAGGAGTTTCAATGTTGCCCTAAAGGCTATGGGCACCAGAGCTGCTTCAGAGCTTTGGAGAGCTGTGTGGAGAAGGCTTTAATAAGCAATTTTATAATCCCTGCTAATCAGTGAAAGAGTTCCCTGTCGCCATACTTTCTCATATTTTTATGTTAGTATTTTCTAGTGCATTTAGAGTCTGAGATCACCCTGAAAACTCCCGAAGCAAACGACTTGTCTCCACATCAACTGCTAGCTACAGACACTGAGGCGGAGGCCTTTCCCACTTAAGCTGGACTGCACCACTCTCTTTCAGACTTTTGTGCCAACCTACCCAGGTACGGCCCACCAGTTGCCAACACGAGACCCGAATCCTCAAAGAAATTTCACTGGCCAAGCTAAGAATCAGTCACCTCTTATTTGCTGCACCCATTTGTTGCTGGATCCCAGTGACCAAACATTTTAGTGGCAGAGCCAACTGGCCACAGGCACAAATGCCATGTGGTGCTTGTTCTAGGCCTCAGTACTTTTCCTATAGGATGAGGGTACCACATCTACTTCTTCCCACTTCCCAAAGTAATCCCACATAGCTCTAGTCATTCCACTCAGGCCACCCCAACACAGGTGTTTACATAGCTGCTTACAACTACTGTGGGTACTTATTTGGGTGTTTCTATTCATATTCTAGTCAATTTGGGGGCTCCCTCAGGGCAAGAATCACCTCTATTCCTTCCTGCAGTCAGGTTAGACTCAGTACATTTGGAGCACAGCACTCTCTCTCCTCAAAACAGGGAATCATACTCTTAGAAGTAGAGGGGACTTTTAATATCACCTAGTCCAAATTCTTCATCTTTGGGAGACACAGACACAGCCCATTATTGTCTAAACAACAGGACCTGATCTGGCCTCCTAGAAAAAGAGGACCCAAGGGATTGGACCTGCGGCTGGGCCCCAGAAAGAGCCTCAGTTTAAGGCTAGACCAAGTCTCCCAACAAGAGGCCGAGTCTCTTAGCTTCTTTTCCCCTAACCCGCCACCCTCGGTGGATTTTGGTGACATGACACAGAGAGGAATCATATCACATAAGCTGCTCCAGGCCTCCCTCCATGCCCCCACCCTCCTAGGTACTAGACACTCACAAAGACAGCAGCAGACAGAAGCCAGCGATGTGGAGGTTTCTCTGGGCTCGGAACAACTTCATGTGGAAGTGTTCCATGGCCCCAGGGTTATTCTGCAGGTTCACCTTCTCTGTCACGTCATCGTATTTCCTGATCTCCCGCACAGCATCTGTTGGGGAGCACGAGAGGAAACACAGGAAGGGGCTCAACCACACCGCAGTGAGTCAAGGCTGCAGTGTTAGGCCATGACGGTTGTTTGCTGGTCCCAGTTCACTCAAGTTCCACTGTCTTCTCGTCAGAACTCATCTTAGTGAACTTGACACAGATCTTCTGGAAAGTCAGCCCAGAAACATATTTTCCCAATCCCCCTACTGAAAGATTTGGGAAATCTTAAATTTCCAAAGAGTGTATAACTCCTTCTCCCTTACCTACACCTACACCCAAGGATGGTAAGCCTATTCCATCAGAAACATGTTTTAACTGTGGATGCGGACTAGGATGATAATAATATTAGGGGTTTCCTCTTCCCATGTCTGACCTAGAAAAGCCCAGCCTTAAACTAAGTTAGTCATGCTTTCAGAATTGTATCTTGGGGGAAGTGGCAGCTGGCTGGTCATGAGAGAAGACAGGGAAGATGTCTGCCTAAGAATGAAGGGGGACCTCATTAGAGCACCACTTTAAAAATGAGAGGCATGAAGTTCCAAAGGACCTGTGATGAAAAACACTATCTACCTTCTGAGAGAGGACTGATGAACTCCAGGTACAGATCAAAGCAGACTTTTTATACTTTCTTTATTTTTCTTGCCTTCCCCCCCCCCAATATTGCTAATATGGGAATATGTTTTTGATAACTTCACATGTGTAACTGTTATCATATTGCTTTCCTCCTCAATGGGTAAGGGAAGAGTGGAAGGGATGGAGAATTTGGAACACAAAAAAATTTTTTTTAATGGATATTAAAAATAATTGAAAATATTGTTTTTAAAATGGCGGTCATCTCTCAAAAACATGTTGTTTTAAAAGAAGTCAATTACAAATGCAATCCTGTTCCCCATATCAAAAAAATTCTCCTCCTCCAGAGGGCTTTTGCCTATCAATCCAAATTTACCCACTTTTCACTTGTATAGTTTTGATTAATGTTACAGAATGTATACAATTTTCACTTTTTTCTTTGGTCTAGACCTTTCTTAGAGAATTGCCTGGGAGCATTAAGAGCTGAGTGACTAGCTTAAGCTCTGCCTATATGTCAAAAGCAGGCCTTAAACCTAGGTCTTTTCTTATTTTTTAATTTTTTTTACTTTTTAGGCAATTGGGGTTAAGTGACTTGCCCAGGGTCGCACAGCTATTAAGTCAAGTGTTTGGTCTGAGGGCAGACTTGAACTCGGGTTCTCTTGACTTCAGGGGCAGTGCTCTATCCACTTCACCACCCAGCTGCCCCAAACCTAGGTCTTCTTGACCCCAAGACCAGCCCTCTATCCACAATGCCTTTCAGCTGCCCAAAAGCCTTCCTGAACAATCAAACCTTCCCTATCGCATTTAGAGTGCTTAACTGCGCCTCGTTACACAGTCCCCACACTTGGATATCTGTCTCAATCTCCAGAGTAACTCTGTAGAAACCCATGCAATGCCTACGTTACAGGATGAGAGCCCCCAAATGAAGTCCAATAATCAAAGGATTTCACATGTCACCCTCTACCAGATGGCCTTACTTTTCTCTACCACTACTTCCCCTTGCCTAAGGCACCCAATTAAATCTGCTGAGAAGTATCAGCAGGGTGGAATGAGAACCCAAAGTAATTTGTTTCTTTTTTTTGTTGTTTGTTTGTTTTTTGGCTAGACAATGGGGAGTGACTTGCTCAGGGTCACACAGCTAGTAAGTGTTATGTGTCTGAAGCCGGATTTGAACTCAGGTCCTCCTGACTCCAGGGCCAGTGTTCTACCCACTGTGCCACCTAGCTGCCCCGCAAAGTAATTTGTTAATAAACAGCTTCCCTATCCACTTTGTTCTCTTCATACCTAGCCTCTGACTGACTTTATAAGGAAAGGGAAGGGCTCTCATCCAGTAGTCAGGGTTAAGACAGGTAGTAGTCCCAGAGTGGACCTGTCTCTCATCAATTACTAGATAACTATTTATAAATAGTTGTATTTTGTTGCTGTTCAGGCATTTCAGTCATATCTGAGTCTTTGCGATCCCATCTGGGGTTTTCTTAGCAAAGATACTGGAGTGGTTTGCCATTTCCTTCTTTACTTACTTACTTTTACACACACACACACACACACACACACACACACACACACACACACACACACACACAGAGTAAGGTGAATTTTAGTGAGTGTAAAGTGGATTTGTTATTTTTTTCTCACAGTTTTCTTCCCAGGATCCATAGCCACAACAATCTCTACTTCCCATGTGTTAGATATGAGTTCTCATGATGATGGTTCAAAACAGTTCCTACTGTGCAGTAGCAGCAGATATAGGGGTGAAGTAATGTAAAATTGTAAGGCTACTGCTGGCAATGTGCCTTGTCTGTTGTCTTATAAAGCAAGTGGGCACTGGTCAGTGACTGGGGACCCCCATAAGGGTGAATGTGCAGGCTGAATGCTGTACTTGCCTTGATTGGCCCTCATCAAGGCTTGGGAGGGGGAATTTGTGTGTTTGCCTCAACCAGCCCCCATTGAGGCTTGAGGGGATTTAGAGGAAAGCACAAGTTGTGCTAGTCTTGACCAACCCCACTGGGACGGAGTAGTTGCCCCCCCTTCATGCTGACCCCTGCAAGAAGGATTGTTAGGGAATGCTTTGGAGTTGGAGCTCCCATTATCAGCAAACTTCCTTTGAGAAGACTAGACTAGAATAAAGTAAGCTTATTTAACCTCTTATTATGACTCCATTCCTGTCTTCCTGTCTGACCAGATCAAAAGCAAACCTGCTAGTGAGAGGTGCTAGAAGCCCTCCTGTGTCTTCTACCTAAGAAATGACGTAGTTGGTGTGTTTACTTGTCCAACACACACACACACACACACACACACACACACACACACACGTGAAGGCAATCACGCACTTTTCTGTATGAGCAAAAACAGCTCAGAATTCAACTGTCATTACTGACAAATGGCAAGGGGTGGGGGGGGAGAATGAGAAAGATACAGGAAGGCTGAGTAAACTGTCTGTATCTAACCAATTGAGGTGGGATCATAGAAGTAGAGTTGGGAATCAATAATCCAAGAACTGCTAAGCCCCCAATAACCCCTAGAATGGAGAGTGTGTCCTATTCCTGGTTCATGATTTGAATTTTGGTTTCGAATTTCCAGGTCACTGCACTAACCAAAACACATGGAAGCAAGAAAGTAGGAGCACATGTGGCATCTAGATTTAGATGGAGCCCTGAATTGAGCAGAATCCCTGAAACTACCTCACCTTCCCCTCCAAAAAGTCCTGGCCTCAGAAAGGCCCGAGGACAACACAGAGATACTCTTTTGCCACTATCTGGCTCAAAGCCTTGGTAGCGAGAGAACCCTGCTTAAAAGCAGCTACCTTCTTTTCTAGGTGAATTTTTCTAGGTGAATGTGTCATATATAGCCATGGGTATGGTATGCAAGCAGCTGGCATTGCATATGCTTGAAAACTGATGTGTCACACCCATCTTGCTAAGAAACAACCTTGCCTGGACACATCCCCTTGAGTCTTGTGAATTAAGCTGCCAAGCCCTAGGAAGACAAGTACAAGGGGCATAATATTGTTATAGGATGGAGTTCTTCCCTGCTTGGACTAACAGGGAAACATGAGACCAGTCAGAAAAGCCTTAAGCTCTTCTGAAGCAATGGCATTTTCTTCACCCCAAGGTGGGGTATGATTTGCCCCAAGTCCCAAAGTGGGTTAAGAGATCTAGGTTCTAGTCCCAGTTGCAATACCAGCTTCCAAGTCCAATGTTTCTTCTACTCTCGTTCATTGCTTTTCTTGACTCTTTGTTAGGAAATTCACCTTTTTTGCCTTTCTCTCGCCATAGGCTCTTCAAGGATAAAAAAAAACCAAAACAAAATAGTGGGACTGTTTACCTTTGCAACTTTTATGGGCCTAGCTGGTTCAATCCTTTGTACCTAAAACCTGGTTACTATAAGAAGAAGCTTGCCCAAGCCTGATGTCCAGATCTGTTGGACCAGTGGCTACAACCTGGTACTAATGAGAAGGCAAGGCATCCTGGAGACCACGTAAAGCATACCTGGATCAATAGTGTCATCCCTGTTTATGAAGGCTATCAGAGGACAGATGCCTAGGATATGTGCAGAGTCTGGGAAAGGGGGTGCTACATAATGTTGCAGACTAGACAAATGGAAGAAATGGAATTGTGAGAGGTTCTTATTTGGGATACTGCCCACAACCACATCTCTGTCACTCACCAATGAGAAGCAGCACCAGGATAACAATGAGAACCACAAAGAAGGTGTTGCCATAGCTCACCACCAGTTGCACCAGGCGGGACTTAAAGATCTTCTGCCATCTAAGGAGAAAGAAACAGAAGCTGGAGGTATTCAAAGTACCCTGGGGTCCCTCTGGGCCCCAGTTAGTCTAAGCAAGGGTTAGCTTTAGCTTATTATCCCACTCTTAACGGAGCTACTTTCTCAACTTTCCAGTTTGGGGAGTCTGTACACTTGGACAGACAATTGCTTAATTCCAACTGACTGACAATTGTGGAGAGAAGTCTTAGGTAAAAGATACAACTAAGAAGAATCAACTTAGAGACCTTGTGTGTTGGTTGTGTAAGGACCCCCAACCTCCCACATTCACCTCTATCCTACACAAGTTACATTAGGAACCCGGCTGCACAGCAGACACCAAAAGGTGAAAGGGGAATGAGGGAGGGGAAGAGAAATTGGTAGGATTTCATGTAGGTGAAATGCTTTATATAAAATGGTTTATATAAAAAATATAAAAAGCAGTTCAAGCCCCATACAGATGGCTCTGCCTCCCTTTATTAAGAATGGCAACACTGATGCTCAGGAAAGCTCAGATTCATTACACTAGGGAAGCCAGCTAACCCCATTTCCAGTAAGTTCTACTTGCTTCAGCCTGGCTTGACTCCTAAGGTCCTATTGATTAGCCACCAAACCTATACACACAGATCGTAGGGGCTCAGCACTGCACAATTCATTGTTAGGGCACCTTGAGCCCTGAAGCTGATCACTCGATAGGCTGTACCTTTTGGGAGAAATAAAAGGAATGCAGAGCAGCAGCACAGCAAAGACCTCTGCATAGAGGAAGGTAGCAACCGCAGTCCACTGGAGACTCATCCTTAGTCACTAGCTGGTTTTGACCTGGAGGCAGAATAGACCAACCTTTGAAATATCTGGCAAGATTTGAGGAAAAACAGGCCGTGAAAAAGGAAGGGGGGGGGGGAGCTGATCAATCCCCAACAAACTCTGGAAGTGACTGTGCTGATCCATACCTCATCAATCCTCCTCCTCCTCAGCTTTCGAAACCATACTACCCTCCTTCAAACAGGAATTAAAACAAGCAAGCGAACTGAGCCACATTAACATGGCTGGAGGAACCTGTCAACAACTCTTGGTTCCTGTAAATAAGTTAATCTACCACATAACTTACTGAAATCTTGAGAGCATGGGCTTAAAAAGCCCCAAACACATGAATCGCCAGTGTGATTCACAGGACTACTATGACCCTTAAATTAGGAACCCAAGGAAAATCTTGAGATGCCAGAAGTCAAAACTACTTGACTTCCAGTGGGAAAAGTACTAAAGAGGAGGATCTGTGTTTGATTCCCAGAACAGGCACCTGGGTGACTCTGGCTAAGCCATTTAACCTCTTCAGGTTTCGGGTTTTTTTCCATCTGTATGATACAAAAATAAATTAATAATGACAATAATTGCAGCTTACATTTACATGGAAATTTAAAGTTTTGCAAATCACTTTGCATACATTTGGTAAAATGAATGAATTGGACTAGATGACCTGGGTCCCTGCAAGGAAGAATCTGGAAGAGGCGAGGTCTTCCGGATAGGCCGGAATAAGGTCCCCTTCTCTCCAAACAAGTAACCCTACTCCACCCCTCTGTTGGAATCTGATCAGGGCCTTCTGACTATGCAGCAGAAACCCTTCGCTCACGCCCTCACTAAATGCACCTCCTGACCGTTTTTCCCAAGCACTCTGCGACAGATATGGTTAGCTGGCAATGCCAAGGCCGGGACCCAGCCCCGCTACCTGGGGGCGAAGGGGTCCTGCTCCATTGGCGGCGGCCACTCCCACAGCCCTACGCGGCCTCGGCCACCTCCCAGTCCCTCTGATAGCCGCCCCCCCGCCAGCTCCAGAGGCGCTTCTCTGCCCCGTTTCTACCCTGGCACTGGGGATGCCCCCTTGCCCCCCTCCTCTCCAGTCTTCAGCTCCATGCCCGGAGGCTCAGGGCCCTGGCGAGGCTGCCTGGCCTCGCAGGCGGCGGCCCCCCTCGCCTTGGACGAGCAGCCTCGCGGGCGTCCTTTCCCTTGGATCATGGCGCCTCGCCCCCACCCCCGAATTCCTGGCTGGCCGCAGGGACGGGCCTCACCTGCTCGCCTCTGCACCAGAGCCGCAAAATTTCACTGCTCGAACTCAAAACTCTCACGCCCAAGCCCCGCCCCTCAGCCTTGTGTCCACGGGCCGGAAATAGGAAGTCGGATGGTCAGGCCCCCGCCTTCTCGTCACCCTCCAACCAACCACCGCACCGCTTCCACTTACTGCTACGGCGACCTCAGAGGGCAAGCAGGAAAGCGTGAGCGCGGGAATGCGCGTGCCCAGGAAAGGGGCTGGAGGTCGCTCTCTATCGGTGACGGTCCCCCCGAGGGCGGGGCCAGCCGGGGTGTGGGAAGTGGCCTCTCTAGCCGGCCGAGTCCTCCAAGTCTCTATGATTTTGGAGGCAAGGCGGGGAGTAGCTAGAGGCGTGAAGTGGGCGGGGTCGCTGTAGCCCGCGGCGGCCGAAGCGGCTGCAGCTCCTCCTCCTTCCACACCGCCCCCCCCATCTCGCTCGCCCCCGGGGAGGGGTGGGTGGGGATTATGGGCCGGTGGCGGAGTCACTGTCGCTCCAGTCTGGCTGAGGAGCGGTCGAGTTTGCTGCCCTGGGGAGGGGCCGTGCCCTGGAAGGAGGAGGAGGAGGAGGAGGAGGAAGAAGAAGAAGAGGAGGAAGAGAAGATAGCTCACCCTTCCTCGGACCCCCCTACCTCAAATCCTGACCTTACTTGGTCCACGAGGTTGTCCGGGGGGGGGGTGTAGGGATCATTGACTGACTGAGGAGGGTGAAGAAAGAGAGATAGAGACTGAGAGAGGAGAGAGCAGAGAAAGAGAGAGGAGAGACAAACTGAAGAGAGGAAAAGTGCAGAAACAGAAAGGAGTGACAGACAGACTGAAGAAAGCCAGAGACATAAAGGAGGGACCCAAACGAGAGGCACAGATTGACCGAGGAGAGACACAGAGGCAGAGATCCCTGGTTGGTTGCTGAGGCAACCACCTCGGTGGACGCCCTGTTGCACCCTCGGTTCCCTAGGAAACGGCCTAAGGGGCCTGCCCGCAGGGGCTCAGTTGCCCGGGCAACCTGCCCATCGGCCTCTGCTAGAAGCTCACGTGCCCACCCTTCCAGGCGGGCGCCATGCAGGTGCTCTCGACGGCGCGGCCCTCCCGGGCGGCCTCCCTGCGGCGCCTGGCCGTGGTGCTGGCCCTGACGGCCTACGGGGCGCACAAGATCTACCCCCTGATCCGCCAGTGCCTGGGGACGCCGCCCCCGCGGGGCCCCCGGGCCCAGGCCTTGGCCACCGCAGAGGCCCGCAGCGCCTCGGGCTCTTTGGCCGTCGCGGCCGCGGGCAGCGGCGCCGGCAGCAGTACCAGCGCCAGCGCCAACCGCGTGTTCTTGCGCCGGCTGCTGTGGCTGCTGAGGCTCCTCTTCCCCAAGGTCCTGTGCCGGGAGACGGCGCTCCTGGGCCTGCACACGGCGGCGCTGGTCAGCCGCACCTTCCTGTCCGTGTACGTGGCCCGCCTGGATGGCCGCCTGGCCCGCTGCATCGTGCGCAAGCAGCCGCGGGCCTTCAGCTGGCAGCTGCTGCAGTGGCTGCTCATCGCGCTGCCTGCCACCTTCGTGAACAGCGCCATCCGCTACCTGGAGGGCCGCCTGGCGCTGGCCTTCCGCAGCCGCCTCGTGGGGCACGCTTACCGCCTCTATTTCAGCCAGCAAACCTACTACCGAGTCAGCAACATGGATGGCCGCCTGCGCAACCCTGACCAGTCCCTCACTGAGGACGTGGTGGCCTTCGCCGCCTCGGTGGCCCACCTCTACTCCAACCTGACCAAGCCTCTGCTCGATGTGGCTGTGACCTCGTACACCCTGCTGCGCACGGCTCGCTCCCGGGGCGCCAGCACAACCTGGCCCTCGACCATTGCCGGCCTGGTGGTCTTCCTCACGGCCAAGGTGCTGCGGGCCTGCTCCCCCAAGTTCGGGGAGCTGGTGGCCGAGGAGGCGCGCCGCAAAGGGGAGCTGCGCTACATGCACTCCAGAGTGGTGGCCAACTCAGAGGAGATTGCCTTCTACGGAGGCCACGAGGTGGGGAGCCAGCAGTCGGGGGGGGGCGATGACAGGGGAGACTGGGCCCACACAGGCCCTCGGAGTTGGTGGCAGAAATGAGGAAGGAAAGGGGGGAGGGGTATTGGGGTTACTGGTGAAGGAGGAAGCTAATGGGGGCGATGGGGTTCAGACTGCTTGTGGCTGGTTGAAGAAAAGGGAGGTTTCAGGAAAGGTTGGAGATTGACCTAGGAGTATGTCTGGGCTGTGTATGTGTATAAAGGGTAGGGGAAATGTCCCTCGGGGTAGCACAGGGGAACGTGGTGATGCTGAGGGTTTCTTTCCCAGTGCCATCTATGTTACAAACTGCTGCTTTCCTTTCACTTCTGTTTATTTTGTTCTCGAGATTGGCTGCCAGAAAATCTTAGCGGTTTCAGACTAGAGCATCCCATTCAAGTCCCAGCTTGTCTGTCTCCATCCCCAAGAGCCTGCCTGGCCCCCTCTAGCCTTATTCCTTGAGGTTCTGACCAGTCTTCCATGCTCTAGGGCAAGTTCCCTTTTGCCCAGGGCCCCCAAAAGGTCCCAGGGCTGGGTCTGTCTAACCTAATGACTGAGCTGGGAAGATGCCAAGCACTAGGGATGTGTTCTCTGAGGACCAAGCTCTTGGCTTTCATGCTGAGGGGCGGGGAAGAAGAAATGCAGAGTCAGAGGGACTCACAATGACAGAATGCAGGGCTTTCAAAGTTTGGGACATCTGGGATGTTGTTGGTCCCAAATGAAGGGAGGAGGGCAGCTTGGGACCAGGGAAAGGGGGAAATAGAGAGCTGCCTTTTGCCATGTGACTTGAGCTGGTTGAATCAAGACCCAGCTCCTTGATCGTCTGACCCCTCCCTGTTCTCTGTTGTTGAAACCCAGGTAGCCCTCTGATGGGCCTCTAGAAGGCGGGGGTGTTCAAAGAATGACTCAGACCCAAGCGGGGTTAACAAGCGGCACCAGCAAAGACTGGCCATTTGGGGTTAGGGGTCAGGCCTTTTGTGACCTCCTTCCTGTCTCTGGGATCCAATACTTCTATGGCTCCTGCCTGCAAAGCTTCTCAGCCAGATTGGGGCTCCAATGCCCTCCCCGTTCAGCATTTCCTTGAAAAGGGGGGAATGAGGGGATGCTGAGATAATAGACCTAGTCGAAGGAGGTCACAGGGAAGTTGTGTAACTCTTGTTTGTCTTGGCCTCAGCTGCCAGCTTTCTCCTTGTACCCTTTCCCCCTCCCACACTCTGCTATAACCTATTTCCCCATAGGGAATTGGATACTTAAAGGATATCTTGAGCTCCTTTTCCCCACCCCAACTGGGGCCCCTCGGGAGACAAGGCTGGTGTGGGCCACTTCCTGCCCATGCTTCCCTACCAGGGGCGGGTGACCGCCCTTCCTCAGCCCTGGCCAAATCCCACTGTCCTTTCGGGGAGACTGGGTCCCTGCCTTCTCCTGGCAGAGTCTTGCCCCCCCCCACATAAAGATCAGGCATGAGATCTGTTCTAGTTTTCACTGCCAGTAGCTAGGGCCTCTGGAATGTTCTAACAGGGTGGAATCAGCCCCTGTCTTAGCTGCATAACCCTAGGGCTCTGGGAAAGGTTACTCAAGGCCAGTGCTCTCTATCTCCTCCTCTTCCCTTCTTTGGGCTGGGGGCTTCAGTGCGCAGGCGCCAGCCTCCTTGTTTCACTTTCACCCTGTGCTGCGGAATGGATGTCTCCCCAATCCCCCTTCTCGTCTCTGTGCTTTCACACTGAGCTCTTAGTGGGGAGGGGTCCTGAAAGGGACGGTCTTTCTTTGAGATTCCTTTGTATTCAGCTGTGTACTTTGGGAAAACCTTTCTCCAGATGTTTGTTAGGGGGGTGACACGTGGCTTGTGGGGGAAGTATGTATTCTGGGTCGGAGGGATGGGGAGTGGGAGGCATCATATCCAGCTTCCTGAGTTAGGTATTTTAAAGATCCATCTTTGAAAAAGGCGGAGGGAGTGACAATGAAGAACATCCAGGACAGGGACCTGGCCCTCCCTTAAGATTTTGAGCTATAGGGCATAGGACTTCAGATCCCACCTACCAGGCTCCCCCAGGGCAGCAAGCTCTTGGAAGACAGTGTTGAATGAGAGCAACTTGGCAGAGTCCCAGTAGCTAATAAATTGTCCACCAGGCCTGAATCCCTTTCTGCCCAGCAGGACTCTGGATTCTAAGGTCTGGGACAATGCAGACTTATCTCTTTACTGGTGAAACTTGCTCCCAGCAAACGCAATCCAATCTACTAATATCTGGATTTATAGGACAGATAATTAGAGGTGGAGGGCTTATTGGCTGTATCAAAGGTTTTGCCAGGACTGCAACACAGCTATTGTGTTAGCTGGGCTACAGCTGCTTTTGCCTCAATCCATTTCCATAATCATTTCCCAGTCCCTTCAATAGGTCCTATTAGGGGTACAAAGATGAAAACCACCAGCAGCCTTGCCCTCAAGGAGCTCTCAGGCTAGTACAGAGTTATAAGGCTTATACACAAATAGCTGCAGTATACATTAGAGTATATTAAAGCAGCACAGTTTAGGGCTGGGGTTCTTGATCTGAGGCCCATGAATTTGCTTTTGAAAATATTGGGATAACCATATTTCAATATAATTGATTTCCTTTGTAATTCTATATATTTTATTTTATGCATTTAGAAACATGATTCTTTTTTTTTTTTTAGTGAGGCAATTGGGGTTAAGTGACTTGCCCAGAGTCACACAGCTAAGAAGTATTAAGTGTCTGAGGCCAGATTTGAACTCAGGTCCTAAATCCAGGGCTGGTGCTCTATCCACTGCGCCACCTAGCTGCCCCTAAAAACATGATTCTGAGAAAGGGTTTCACCAGACTTTCAAAGAAGACTATGACACACACACACAAAAAGGTTAAGAATCTCTAGCCACTAGGCCAGAGGGCTGGGCTGGGAGGGAGATCTGAGTTTTACCCCTGACTGATATATTTTGGCTGTATGATCCTGGACTGGGGAAATAGCATGATGCAATGAAAAGAACAGTGGATTTGGAGTTACAGGAACTGGATTTGAATCCCAACTTATTACCTATGTGACGGGCAGGTCCCTTAACCTCCCTGGGCTTCAGTTTCCTCCTCTGTAAACTGAAAGAGTAGCTCTAGGTGGCCTCCGAGGTGCTTTCCAGCCCCACATCAATAATGCTATGATACTAAATTATTTACTCTCTCAGTGGCCTGGACTATAAATTGGAGGAAACTGAGGCTCAGAGAGTGAGAACAGTTTGCCTGAGGACACAGCTGGAGCCAGGGCTCCTGACTCCAATTTTACTGTTTTCTCAGATCAAAGTCATAAATTAGAAAGGCTACTCTGCCCAGTGTGTGAAAGATGAGTTGGAGCAGAAAGAGACTGGAATTAAAGAGGCCAGCCAGACTCAGATTAGAGGAAAGGCTAGGAACAGAGCTGTTTTTGGAGGAGGGCAGTTGAGGGACCTTACAGTGGATTGCCATCATGTTCTCTGTAAAGGCGAGGTCTAGGTCAGCTGCCAAGATTGCTGATGGAGGTAGGGTTGGGAGGTGAAAGAAAAAGGAGATACTGTGGACATTGGCTAGTAAGTTAGAGATGAATCAAAGAGGTCAGCAAGCAGGCTGCCTGAGGTTTGGCACCAGCTGTCTGGAGAGGGCTCAAGTCAGCCAGGTTTCAGGATTTCAAGTTCAGTCTCTCCAGAGCAGTGCTGGAGAAGGTAATTAGTAGGGTGAAACCAAGGCAGGTCACCAGAACAGGTCCTGATGTCAAGGAGACCCAAGCAGGTGAGGTGGTGTCCCACAGTATAAAGTCAGGAGACTGAGTTGGAGCTGCTACATGACCATTCAGTCCTTGATAGACCCACCTGGGGAAATCAGCTCCTGAGAAGGTATTCAGGGGAAGCCAGAAGCCCCAGATGACTGAGGAGCCCTAGAACCTGGGGCTCACTCCAGAGCTGTGGTTGTTACTTATTATATGTACTAGCTACTTCATATGACACTGAGTTCAGTGTGATTTATTTTGAATCTAAAGCAGCTCCCTTGTGTATATTGTGTTGTAAAAGAGTTCAGAAAAGAAATAGAACTGTATAATAACTTTTGCCTCATGTTGCTTGTATGTGTGTGAGCACATGTATGTATGTATGTCTTATTTATTTACAAGGCCAGTAAAGGCAGGACTAGAACCCAGATGTCCTGACTCCCAGTCAAGGGCTCTCTCTGCTATATCACAAAGCCTCTTTTCCCAGTTTAACTCTTAGAGTAAACATATGAAAGATATACTCATGATATTGCTTGGCTATGTACATAAATATACACACTTCTACATGTACATAGATGTGTAGTTAAAGCTTTAATAGTTTAAAATTGCACTAAGATTTTTGGGACACCCAGTGTACATACCATTTCAAAGCCAACTAGAACTGACTTTCGTGTTACCTTTCTTTGGATTATCTGTGTCATGGGTATTTTCTATTGATATATTAAGATAATTGATAATTGACTGTCTCTTTCAGTGGTATAAGTATTGGAGATCCAAGAAATTCAGTGACTCTAAAGTCTGACTTGTAAATGTCCCTTACACCTGAGTGGCCACCATGGTCAAGGATTTCTCTCCCAGCTGTAACTTCCATCTGGGACTCACCACTCCTGGAGAATCCCACCTTCCTGCTGCTAGGGCCCTTATTCCCTTCCCTCTTCTTATCCCTGTTACCACTGAAGATCCTATTCTCTCTTCCTTCTCCTTTCTACTGCTAAGTTACTTGGCCTCAGTTTCCTCATCTGTAAGAACTAGGTGAACTCTAAAGACCCTTCCAGCTTTTAAGTCCATGGTCTTCTCTCCTCTCCTCTTTGGAGCTGATACAACCATAGAGTCCCCTCACCTTCCTCTCCCTGTCCTGATTCTATGACAACAAGGTAATTTGAAAATAGTGTTGAGTTTAAATCTTGGCTCTGATATTTACCAACTGTGTGACCTTGGGCAAGTCACTTTACCTCCTGAGTTTCTACATCTGTAAACCAAGGAGGGGGGAGGGGAATGAGAAAAGATGTACAGATATTGGAAGGGCCTTAAAGGACCTTTGTAATGAAAGTTGTCTTGGCCTGTACAGGAGATAAGAGATGGGAGGGGAAGAGAATGAACCTTTGTTACTTCTAGGGTTGCACCAATGGAGATAGATGTGTCCTTTTTTCCTTTTTTTTTTCCCTTTTTTTTTTAGGCAGCTAAGTGTCAAGTGTTTGGTCTGAGGCCGGATTTGAACTCAGGTCCTCCTGACTTCAGGGCCGGTGCTGTATCCACTGCGCCACCTAGCTGCCCCTGTCCGTTTTCCAAGGAGCACCTTGGAATGAGCTTTCTCACAGAAAGAGTGTTATATATGGTAGATAGTGTGGCTGGTACAAATGTGGTCTAAGTCAGAGTGTTCATTTAGCTACATTGTGGGTTAAATAGAACTTGGTGGGTTGGCCTAAGAATCTGACCACCATGTACATTTAACATTGTTTCTGTTGACTTGTACCACTTGGAAACTCTGTGACCTTGGTCCCAAAGTGTGTGTGTGTGTGTGTGTGTGTGTGTGTGTGTGTGTAGTGTGTAACTACACAGAGTAGGTCCTACACATGCTTCCATATTCTTCCCCCAATTCTGAAGTCTGACTTGTAAATGTCCCTTACACCTGAGTGGCCACCATGGTCATAGATTTCTCTCCCTTCCCCTTTCCGTTGTAAAGAATGAGGAGATTGATTTAGACCAGATGTTGTTAACCTGAGTTCCATGAACTTTTTTTTTTACAAAATAACTGTATTTTAATGTAATTGGTTTCCTTTGTAATCCTATGTATTTTATGCATTGGACTCCAAAAAGGAGTCCATCACTTTGCCAGACTGCACAAATAGTCCAGGATGCCAGGAAGGTTAAGGGTCCCTGGTCTTGATTCTATCCAGTCACATGATTATGAGAACCCCTCACTGACTGCATCTCCTACTACTTGCCCTGTCTGCTCCCCAAGGGCAGGAGTTAGTCCCTGAAGGCAGGGGGAGTGGGCAAGCTCTCACTGAGCCTGTTTTTCACCTAGGTGGAGCTGGCCCTGCTGCAGCACTCTTACCAAGACCTGGCCTCCCAGATTAACCTCATTCTGCTGGAACGGCTCTGGTATGTCATGCTGGAACAGTTTCTGATGAAGTACGTGTGGAGTGCTTCAGGCCTTGTGATGGTCGCGGTACCCATCATCACTGCTACTGGCTACTCAGAGTCAGGTGAGAGAACCCCTGTGGGAAGAAGAGTCTGGGAGCAGGAACCTACAAAAAGGCCTAGCTCTAGATGTGGCCCCCCACTGGGACTAGAGAAGAACTGGGGAGAGGTGTGCAGTTGGGGCCTAGGTTCAGCTCTCAGCTCTCTCATCTACCCATGGGACCATGGTGACCTGAGCCAAGTCACTTTTCCTCTGAGTTGCTCACTTGTAAAAAACCAGATGAACTCTAAGCACCATGCCTGCTCCACATCTGTGATCACTGGCTTAAGGCTTTGTATCCAGTTAATGGCTGAGTCAGGACCAGAGCCCAGTTTTCCTGACTCCTTTCTGGTTTAGGCCTCACTCTTTATACTAAATTAGGCTAAAAAAAATAGGCTGACCTTTCCATTTCACTCTTTTTCTCTGCCATGGTGTACACATCTTTTCCACTAATCCCAATTTCTGTTTCTTTTCATCTCAAACACAGTTTTACCTTTGTACGCTTCCCCAGGTGAACCACTAGAATTGCATGTAAAAAGGTTCATTTGACTCCTCATCGGACGCACAGACATACTTGGGTATGAGTGTGTGCGTGTGCAGGTACACACCCACATGCACACATGCACAATTTATTTTCGTTATTAAACCATTGATGGATGCCTTTTGTCTTTCCATCGCAGCCTTTTCCTACCTCCTTCAGATAGAATCCTCTCATAAGGAGCACAAATGGCCTCTACTGAGACAGTATTTGGGGTTTTCTTGTCAGAGAAATTGGAGTGGCTTGCCATTTCCTTCTCCAGCTCATTTTACAGATGAGAAAACTGAGGCAAACAGGGTGAAGTGACTTGCCCAGGGTCACATATCTAGTGAGTGTCTGAGGCCAGATTGGAACTTAGGTCCTCCTGACTCCAGGCCCAGTTCTCTATCCACTGTGCCACCTAGCTGCCTGTGTCTGTTTTAGTTGTCCTCCACCCCGCCTTTCTGCCCTGAAAGAGGAGATGTGGTTTGTTGTCTCTTTTCTGGGAACTTCCACCTTCTACTTAACTAGTTGGTGTCATTGTTTATGTTGTTCTCTTGATTCTGCCAACTTCACTCTGTATCACTTCTTATAAATCTTCTCCTGTGTCACCAAACTCATATTTGTCATTTCTTACTGCAAAATGATACATTAATATACCATGGGGTGTTTTTTCAGCCATTCTGCAATCAGTAGGCAACAACTTTGTTTCCAGCTCTTTATCATCTCAAAAGTATTGCTGTGAATATTTTGGTGTATATGGCCTTTGTTTCAGTCTTTGACTTCCTTGGGGCATATGCCCCGTAGTGAGATTGCTAAATAGAAGAAATATGTAATTCCAAATTGAAGTCCATGATAGTTGACCATTTTATAGCTCCTGTAATATTGAATGTTCCCCATCTTTTTTTGTCTTTGCCCATTTGTTCTCCTCCCTTTTTTTTTTTTGGCTAGGCAATGGGGTTAAGTGACTTGCCCAGGGTCACACAGCTAGTGTCAAGTGTTTGGTCTGAGGCCGGATTTGAACTCAGGTCCTCCTGACTCCGGGGCCTGTGCTCTATCCACTGCGCCACCTCGCTGCCCCAGCTTTACCCATTTGTATAATGTGCTGCTTAGATTTGCATTTCTCTTGCTCTTAGTGATTTGGAGCATATTTTTGTGTGGTCACTTATAGTTTGCATTTTTTTTGAAAACTCTTCACCCCGGCAAATTCGTGGAAGTGACAAAAGATGGAAATGATCAATTTTAGAAGGGCTGCAGGAAGACAGGCTCACTCATATGCTCTTGGGGGGAGCTGTAAATTAGACCAAGTATTCTGGAAAGCAATTTAGAATTATGCTAAAACAAACGTGACTGAAATGTTTATACCCTTTGACCCAGACATCCCACTGTTGGGCATAATATGCCAAAGGAGGTCACTGATAAAAAGAGAGGTCCTATCTCCACCAGAATATTTATAAGGAAATCTTCCCCCTTCCCCTTTTTTTTTTTTTAAAGGCAGTTGGGGTTAAGCGACATGCCCAGGGTCACACAGCTAGTAAGTGTCAAGTGTCTGGTCTGAGGCTGGATTTGATCTCAAGTCTTCCTGACTTCACGGCCAGCTCTCTATCCACTGCACCACCTAGCTGCCCCCCACCAGAATATTTATAGCAGCACTTTTTGTGATAGCAAAGAATTGGAAACAAAGTCGCTGTCCATCAACTGGGGAATGGCTGAACAAATTGTGGTCCATGAATGTGATAGAATATTCTTCTGCTGCAAGAAACAATGCATATGATGACTACAGAGAAGCCTGGAAAGACTTATATGAACTGATGCAGAGTGAAGGATACAGAGCCAGGCAAACGATTAGACAAGGACACAACAGTATAGACAGAAAGAACCAAAACTGTAACTGAAGCCAGGCCAGGTGCCAGAAAAGATGTGAAGAAAAGCCCTTCCCTCTTTGCTTTACTGAGTTTAAGGACTATGGGTATGGAATATTGCTTATACTGGCAGACACTATTGACTTGCTGATTGGTTTTGTGGGATTGTTTTTTTCTTGTCTCTCTTCAATTGGCACTACTCTAAACTAGCACAGAGTGAAATGTGCAGGACCAGAAAAAACTATATACAATGACAGTAATAATATAAACAGAACAAAAAAGAAACTGACCTGTATAATTCTTAATTTTATTTGTATTGATACCTTTTGTTTTTACATTGCCTTCATTTCCCAACATATCCCTCTCTTCTCCAGTGCCCAACAAGCTATCCCTTGTAACAAAGAATAAGAAAGAAAAGGGAAAAAAGGTCAGCAAAGCCAGCCAACATATCCACCATGTCTAAGAGCATATATAATAGTCCATACCTATAGTCTTCTGCCTTTATAAAAACAGGGAAAGAGGTGCATTTTCTTAACTCTTCTCTGAGGTCAGGCTTGTTAACACTATATAATTATAATGACCAAGGATCTGATAAGCCTGGTAGATAGCTGCTGCCTGCTATTCAGAAAAATCCTATCCTACCCCAAGCTTAGTCTTCTGTCCTGTCCTGCCAGAGCAAGGTGTGTCTGAGCAGGAAAGGGATATAGTTTGAGGTTTATTAATGCTGTGTACCCTTGATTCAAATTTTTTCTCATTATTTCCCTGACATTCTAGACCTTTTGTTATGTTATTTTGTTTAGTTCTAAAAAACTATCTCTGAAGTAATTTGGTATAGCACTAAATATGTAAATGCATTTAGCTTTTATTGTCATTTTTATTATTTTGACATAGCCTAACCATGAGCAGTGAATGTCTCACCAATTATTTGTCTCCCTTTATTTCTGCCAAGTTTTGTAGCTTTATTTATAAATTTATAAATCCTGGGTGTGTCTTGGTAGGTTAACTCAAATATTTTATACATTTCATAGTTATTTTTAATAGGATTTATCTTATTTCTTTGGGGTTTTTTGTTAATATTGTATAGAAGTGCTGGTGATTTTGTAGGTTTATTCTACATCTTGCTACCCTGCTGAAGCCATTAATTGTTTCAGTTTCTTTGTTGATTTTCTGGAGTTTTCTAAGTATACCATTGCATCATCTGCAGATAGGGATAGTTTTGTTTCCTTTGCTAATGTATATGCTTTTGATTTTGTTCTCTTGTTATTAATATAGGTAGCAGAACTATGTCAAATATTATTGTGGAGAAGGCAGCACGCGCGCGCACACACACACACACACACACACACACACACATACAATATAGTCAGCCTTCAATCATTTGATCCTAAGGAAATTTCATTATCCAAGCACTACTTGCTTGTTTTCCATCCCTTACCATCTCTAGGGTATGTATGGAGCTGATATATGTTGGGGGTGGGGGGTGGTGGAATAATAACTGCTGTATTAAAATCTTTACTCTTTTATGGCCTCAGTTTCCCCATATGTAAAATGAGAGTCAGACTGGATATTCTAAGTTCTCTTCCAGATCTGACATTCCATGACTGTGAAATATTTATTGAGTACCACCTACTCATTCAGCAAACATTAAACTGTCTATTCTATGCAAGGCATTATGAGAGATATACAAATAAAATTCACTCTCTAGTGAAGACGGCAAGACACAGAGTCATGAAAAAGAGTAGTTAATGCTCAGCATCCAACGAGGACCACAGACAGCAAGATGACTACTGGGGATTAGCGGCAAGCTAGGATTGAAATCAGCAGAGTCAAAGCCTCTTAGCTCAGGAGGCAGATTCTCTCCTGATAAAATGGCTCATTGCCCAGAGTCTTCAGGAGTGACTTCCTGATCACACACAGATAACCTGAAGAGGCCTTGCCTGGAAGGCATTGACCAGGGCTTGATTATGTCTAATGGGCTGCTGTTGCTGCCGGCAGCCGCAGCCACCCTCCCTGCATTGTCTTCTCCTTGCCCTGCCTTGCCCTGCTTGGGAGGGCTCTGCTCCCACGTGTATCTGACCTTGCTGGGCCTGCATGTGGTTGTCCCTTTTGCCCATTCGATGGTGCCTTGGAATGTTTTCCATCTTAGTGTTTCGGTAGGCAGTGGCCCATTGTTTCTCCTTTTCAGAGTCCTTTTTTTCCTACTTGTCAATGCATACTGTGGAGGACCATAGAATCATAACATGTTAGAGCTAGAGGGGACCTTGGAGATTAACCAGCCCAAACCCCTCACTTTACAGATGAGGTTCAGAAGGGTCTTGCTAAAGGTTGCAAAGCCGGAACCCGAACTTAGGTTTTCTGACTCCCAAGTCCAATGTGCTTTCTGTGGGCATCAACTGCCTTTGAATTCCAGACCGTGCAGACTTGGAGCATAGCTTCTTGTAATAAATTCTTCCCCTCGCTCTTCCACAATCCCTCTCCCCTCTCCACCACGGTCTATGTTCCCTAGGCTTTCACTTCCCCATCTGGAAAACAAAGGGCTCTAGGTAGATGATTTCAGAGGTTCCTACCAGTGTGCAGAACCCGTGATTCCAAATGAGCTTCTCAATGCTATGCCTATCACAGAGGCAGGGACTACTGATTCCTGTAGCCCGTTTCCATTGCCCCCAAGTGGTCCTTTATGTGATACTATGGCAGGTTCCTATCTTTCCTTAGCCAAAAATACACCTATCTCATCATCAGTTCACCCCTAGACCAAGATCACAGAAGTCTTTGGTCCAATGAGAGCACCACCAGGGGTTAGCTAGTTAAATACTTCTGGGTTCAGATAGGCACCAATCCTTGCCAAAGGAATTGCACAGAGTGCCCTCAGGCATTCAGACTCCCTGTGCCCCTATGACTGTTTCAGGCCATAAGGCTGCCTTCTTACCTGACCCACCCAAAGAAGTACTGGGGGCTGTGGCGTACAGGTGGCACATCGCTAGGCAGGCTACAGCCCTTGGTACACCTCTCCATGTATTGGGCACATCAACGAGCCTTTCCTTTAACATAGCATTGGGTTTGTCCAGGCCGTTTCGCTTCCATTGTCTTAGGTGATCCTCATGACAACCTAGTAAGAGAGGTAGGGCAGAGATTATTACCCCGCATTTTACAGATGGGGAAACCAAATAGCAGAGCCAGGACTAGAACCTGGGTCTCCTAAAACTGCTGAGTAGCTCTATATTCTTTCCACTAACCCTTCCTTGTCAGCCAATCATTAAACAGTTCTGTTTTGAGCCCTCACTGTGTGCCCAGCCCAGTACTATGCACCGTAAGAGAAATAGGCAATGTAGACCTTGTTCTTGAGGAGCACACAGTCAGGCCCACCATAGCTGAGAAATGAATATGTTCCAAATACTTGCTCTGCCTTGGGGTTCTTTGAGATCCACTCTGTAGTCACTGCCCATGTTCAGCCCAGAGCCAGCTGGAGGGAATGAGGGAGGACAAGTGGGTCTACCACTGCTGCCTTCTTCCATTTCTGAGATGCAAGGTAAGGCCATGCCATGGAGAGCAGACTGATTATAAAGAAGCATCCAGCATAGACCTTGTTCCCCTAGAGACACTTCTAATTGAACTAGGGAGACATGCTTCTCACATGTGAAAAGCTATTGGAGTTAAATGCCAAATGAGTGATTCAGACAGTGTCACGGGAATTCAAAGGAGGGAGAAAACACTGGGGCCTGGGCTGGTCGGGAAGGCTTCATGGTGGCATCGACTTTGGGCTGGGCCTTGAAAGATTTGGAGACATGGAGCCATGTGAGGCAAGGTGTGTTTGGGGCAATGAGAAAACCAGGCAGCTGTAAGGTAGGTTGGGCCCAGGTCACGAAGGGCTTTGAATATAGCCAGTCAAGGAGTTTGCACATTGTCCAGGAGGCAGTCAGGAACTATTGGAAGATTGATCTGTGAAGGGGGGATTGGAGCCTCCCAGAAGGCTAGGCCAGGGGAAAGGTAAGCTCCATAGCTAACTCTCCATCCTTCTCCCATCCCTCCTGTGTAGACTCAGAGGCAGCAAAGAGAGCGGCCTTGGAGATGAAGGAAGAGGACCTAGTGAGTGAGCGCACAGAGGCCTTCACGATCGCCCGTAACCTCCTCACGGCTGCTGCGGATGCTATCGAGCGAGTTATGTCTTCCTATAAGGAGGTACTCTTCCTCCCAGCTCGCTTCAGGCCTCCTGCCAGAGTGCCAAGCTGCAACTGACTTTTCCCCACCCTTCCCGTCCCCAGGTAGCAGAGCTGGCTGGTTATACTGCCCGGGTGTACGAGATGTTCCAAGTGTTTGAGGATGTCCAGCGAGGTAGTTTCAAGAGACCTGGAGAGCTAGAGGACTCCCCAATGAAGGCCAGAACTGGAGCTCTTGTGAGGCATGGGGTGCGTATGGAGGGACCCCTGAAAATCAGAGGTAAGGACCCACTTTCTGTCCGCTTTCATTCAGTCATTAAATCATCATACCAAGCACCTGTTGTCTTTATTGAATGGTTTCTGTGTCTTGTGTTGCCCCTACTCATCCTCCAGGTTTCCTGTTACTTGTCACACAGTCTTAACTCTTTAAGTCTGTTGTTCACGGCCCCCCACAACTCAGTTTTGTCCTGTGTGTGCAGACTCATCTCTCTTTGCCCCTGCTCCAATGGACCAAGCTTATCTGGTTCCTTCCTACCCTTTCAGTTCCTCTCTGCCCCTCTGGATCCCCCCATCCTTCAGGGCCCAGCTCAAGGTTCCCCTCCTTGGTGAAGCCTTTCCTAAGTGGCCCCACTGGGTGCAGAGGCCTCCCCCTTGCATTCCCAAGGGAGCATGCTTTATCTGTCACCCTCGTTTGGCTGTTCGTGGCTGCTACTGCTGCATGTCAGAGGTTCACTGGGTAGCTAGGATAAGAGAGGAAATGGGTGTTATTGGTCATCTAGCCCAGCCCTTCTTAAACTGTGGGTTGCAACCCCATATGGGGTTGTGAAAAATTTGGCAACAGTAAGAGGTTTATGAACGCAGAACAACCAAAAATGAATTAAAAATCAAACACGCAATGAATCCGAGGTGTTTCTGGCAGCGCTTGTCCATATTGCATTGCACAGCTTCACTGCAGCCTTGGTTCTGAACATACAGCATGCACACTTTGCACTGCACCTGCTGTCACATCCATGCAATGCCAACGAATGCTACCGAAACCTGAACAGGGATTGTGAGGGGGAAGAGGTTAAGAAGCCCTGATCGAGTCTAATGCCCTCATTTTTCAGATGAGAAAACTGAACCCCAGAAAGGTAATTTGCCCAGAGTCCCATGAGGAGGTAATTACTAAGCCAGGCCCGCTGACCCCAAGTCCAGTGCTATGAGTAGTCGGGATAAGTCTCTGAGTGACTGCTGGATGATCTCTTGTCAGGGAACTCTTGCTCAATGGTCAGTTGGGCCAATGCCCTCGGGGATCCCCGTCTACTTCTCTCTGTAGATGCCTCGTAACCAGCCACTGCACAAATTCACAGATGTTTACTGGGTGTGGGCAAGCCTGCTCCACGCTTATAGCTTATTGCTGACCTGTGGATTATGAGCTTTGAAGTGCTAATTTGCATGTGATTTGCATATGCCTTGTATGTGAGAGGCCTAGACCACTTTCTGTATCCCTCATGAGGCTACAAGCTCATGGTCTTTCTCTGTAGCCCTCAGCATGCTTATCCCAGTACCCTACCACATGTGAGAGTGCCCATGGATTATTTCTGACCTGCTCTCCTCTGCCCCTGACTAGCAGGGGAGGGCAAAGTTCAAGTCCTGTGCTGGCCCCCACGGTCAGTCAGTCTACTCTACACAAGTTTTGGCTATAGAACTCTAGGCAAGGCATCCGTCTATCTTCCAGTGTAGGCATCGATTCTGCATCACACTCCAGAGGTGGGGAACCTGCAGCTTCGAGGCCACATGTGGCCCTCTAGGTCCTCAAGTGCAACCTTTTGACTGAATCTAAACTTCACAGAACAAATCCCCTTCATGAAAGGATTTCTTCTGTAAAATGTGGATTCAGTCAAAAGGCCACACCTAGAAGGCCACATGTGCCCTCAAGGCCTCAGGTTCCCCCATGGCCTAGGGCTGGACAGGCTTGCACAGACAAGAGCCAAGACTCCAGCTCTGCCCTGGCCTGTGGGGCTTCTAATTAAGTTTTTAGAGAGTTCAGGTATATATATATGCATATATATATATACACACACACACGCGCACACACACACACACACACACACACACACACACACACACACACATATACATATACATATATAAGAACAATCGCAAATGATCTAAGATAGAGTCTATGTGATAGGTAAATGGTTCTACTTGGATAGATGGTAGGAGAGAAGTGTCTAAGTAGGAATGTTTGGGGATGGGAGAAGAGTTCAAGGATTTGGAAAGATGGAAGGGAGACAGGTTAAGATATTCCAGGGAAGGAGAGGCACAGAATGTGGTGCATGATGGGGGCGGTGGAGAAGCTGCTGGAGCAATGCATGTGTGTGTGAGTGCATGTGAGTGTGACAATGTGTATGAGTATACTTCTGAATGTATGTGTGTGAGGTATATATGAGTGTGAGTATATGTGAATGCATGTGTGTGTGTGTGATAACGTGTATGAATGTACATCTGAATGTGTGAGTGAAGTATATATGAGTACAAGTGTATGTGAATGCATGCGTATGTTCAAGTGTGTGAGTATGAGAACATGGGTGAGTATACGTCTGTGTAGGTATATATGAGTTGTATGAGTCTGTGTGTGACTGCCTGTGGGTATGCTCAAGTGTGTATATATATGAGTATGTGAGCATGTATGCTTATGACTGAATGTGTATTTATATGTATGAGTTGTGTATGAGTGTGCATATACATGAGTCCATGTGTGTGTTCCAGTGTGTGAGTGTGAAACTATGTGTATGTATGTGTTTTGGAGGACTATGAGTGAGGTTTGGAGAGCTAGGCAGGGGAGCTGAGACATGACTTGGAGGTGAGCACGGGAGAGACTGTGGCTGCTCTTGGAGCATTAGGTGTGATGGCTCTGCTCTTGGAAACCCCCTGGTAGACATCCACAAGGGATCTCCTAGTCGGGCCTCATCCTAGTTCATGGTCACTCACTCAGCCTCGTGGCCTATCCAGCATTCTAACATCTCGGTGGGATTCTCAGCAGCTTTCCAGGCAGCTGTGGCCTTCACAGGTCTCTCAGCAGCCTTCCCTTCCCCCCAGCCAGGCCTCTCCCTCCCCTCACCCCTTGTCTGCTTGCCAGCCTTGGGGTAACCAGCCTTCCTTGTTCTTTCTCTCTCTCATTCTCCCTTCAGGCCAGGTAGTGGATGTGGAGCAGGGAATCATCTGTGAGAACATCCCCATCATCACCCCAACAGGAGACGTGGTGGTGGCCAATCTCAACATCAGGGTAGGCTGAGGCCCAGGGGCCTGGAGGCTCTATGTGCTGTCAGACTTTTCCCTGGCACAGGGGAAGGACTTCTTCTCCAGGGGCAGCTAGAAGGGAGAGTGCAAAGGCAGGCAGCCATCAGCTGTGTGCTCTAGGCTTCTGTCACTACTTGTCTAGTCTAGATAGTTCCTGAGGTTCCTTCTAGCTCCAAGGTTCTCTATATGGCTCTATAATCTGAGGGTAAGAGGGCTTCCTCAGAGAAACACCTCAGACCTGGGCACTTGTGACCTGGCCTGTGCACCTACCTGCATGCTTTGGCAGCAAGATGATGCCCTAGGCTCCAAGGTCAGTATGAGTGTCCCAAAAGTCACATGTGCTGCCAACAGGGTAGAATTGATCAAGGAAGCTGATAATTGTCAAGAGCTGGGCAACGGGTCCTGAGCCTGGCTCCTACCACTTATACTCTTGCCTATCTCTCAGTGAGCTCTGGGTCAACTCCTCCCACTTTCCAGGAAGACTTGTCTACCTGCACTCTGAGGAGGCAGGAGCTGGCACGCATTACTCTTTGAACCTCCTGCTGTCAGGACCATCACACATTGACCTATGAGCAGAAAAGGTCTGCTACATTGTAAGTCCAAAGGCTGGGTTGTGTCTGCAAGGGAAACAGCAAGCTAGAGAAGAAATTCTCTTTTATATGCACTAGACAGGCTCAGCATTGAAAGAAAAGGCCCAAGCGGACTAGTCATTCTGAGTTCATGGAGACCAGCTTGGGGCTGTCAATGAGGGAAGTGGGGGCAGGGAAATAAGAGAGAAAAGACCTCTCAGGGAGCTTCCAATCACCTGGGAGTAACCAGATTCCTGAACAGGAAGCAAAGAACATTTGAGTGTTAAGTCAACTGATGCCAACATGAAGTGTACCATTTAAGAGAAGAGAGATCAACGTGTATGGAGGAAGGTAGGCCCAAGCTCAGCCTTGAAGCATGGCAGGAGGAAGTGGGGGGATTTGAAAGACAGCTGATGCTTACTTAGTACACACTATATGCAAGACTTTTGCCCAGCAGCATTGTGGATAGCACTCATAAATGGGGAGAAGAGCAAGCTAAGTGGGAGAAGTGTGACCTGAGCCGGACTTTAAAAGATGAGTAGGATCAGGCCAGGAAGGAAGGCCTAGGGCCTTCCAGACAAGGGGAATGGCCTGTGCAAAGATTTTGAGGTAGAAATGAGCCAAGGAAGGAAAGTGGCCCATCTGTGTTGGAGGGCAGCCAACAGTGGGATGGGGCTGGATCATGGAAGGCTTGACTGTCGGGCTCAGGATTTGCACTTACTGCAGTGGGTAACAGTGAGCTCCTCAAAAGGAAAAGAGGGGAGGGAATGTAAATCTCCCTAAGTACACAAAGCCTCCCAATCCTGTGACTCCCCCTGTAGGTGGAAGAAGGAATGCACCTGCTCATCACTGGCCCCAATGGCTGTGGCAAAAGCTCCCTCTTCCGGATTTTAGGTGGACTCTGGCCAGCCTATGCTGGAGTCCTCTACAAACCCCCACCACAGCGCATGTTCTACATCCCACAGAGGTGAGTGAAACCATAGGCCTCCGCAGCTTCCACATCCCAAACAGAACCAGCCAGGGGCTACCAAGTTGGTCATTGGGATGGCATGGGCAAGGAACCAAGCCAATTCATTGGTGGGAAGCTAAAGCCCCCCCACTCCTGTATGTCTCTCACAGGCCCTACATGTCAGTGGGCTCTCTGAGGGACCAGGTGATCTATCCTGACACAGTAGAGGACATGAAAAGGAAGGGATATTCCGACCGCTACCTGGAGGCCATATTGGACATTGTGAACCTCAACCACATTGTCCAGAGGGAAGGAGGTGAGTGCTTGGGGATTGGGGAAGGACCTGGCTTGATAGTGGCACCCCCTTCTCCAGCATCCCCACATCCAGGCACACAGGAGTTGTCTTTCCACAGCATAAATAGCACATGTTATCTCACATTTCTCTCAGCCACTGTGGCCAAAATATAGTAACAAATGATCGTGTTGGCCTGCCAGAGGGGCCTGGACAACTATGCCCTGGCTTTTGGCCAGGGTGCCCCGACCCCACCCCAGGCTCTTCTGTCTCTTTGGGGATGCTCTAGCCCTGATCTCCATTTTCATTTGGAGGTTGATCAAGGGGCTTCCCTACACTTAGGACTTAATCAAAGGACGTAGAAGAGACAGTTGGGAATCAGGGCAATGGTCAGCTCTGTTCATACCCCATCACAGGGAAATGCTGAAGCCTGTGAACTATTGAGCATAGGAGAGATTCCTGTGATCCAAAGGGAAAGCTGTCAGGATCCTCTGTCACTTGGGCTTCTCCCCTCTGTGCTCCTTGGGCTCTGATGGCCCCAAAGGGGCCAGTGATGTGGTGGCACATCTGTCCATTTTTCCTCACACTTACTCCACCACTCCAGGGGAAGGGAACAAGCATTTAGTCAATGCTCACTGTGTGCTAAACGCTCTCCCTGGGTCCCTACTCATACATCGGGCCCATTCTTCCCTTTACTCACTCACTGGCCTTTAAGGCCTGGCACATTCCAGGAAGGGATCCCAAGTAACTTCAGTCTTCATATTGATCCTGTCCCCATTGGAAAGAAGGGAGCAAGAGACTGCGTAGAGGGGAGAACACTGGCTCTGGCATTGGAGGGCTTTGATCTGAAAGCCAGCTCTGGGCCCAGGAGCATTTATTGTCCAAACCAGTCTTTTGACTTGAAATTCTGTTCAGTTTAACCCCTTGTTTTTGTACTCTTGATTAAACTGTTTCAATCCCCCCCCCAACATGCTTGTTCTGGACTCCCATGACTGGGGTTCAGAGCCAAATCCTGGTTGTGGCACCCCAGTTCCAGCACAATGCTTGGCACAGTGGGAAACACTAAATTCTTATTGATTGGTCGGTCATGGACAAGTCACTAATGTTGTAGAGTATCCATTTCCTCATCTGTAAAATGCAATAAAAGTCTAACTACCTCCCCCAGGGTTGTTGTAAGCAAAATATTTTGTAAAGCTGCCAGTGGTGCCCAGTGGCCAGGGTCCCAAGTTCAAGTCCAACCTCATATGCTTAGGTCAATTCATCTTTCAGTCTCGATTTCCTTATCTGTAAAATGGGGCTAATAATAGCACTGACCTGGCAGGGTCAAATGAGATCATCTAAGTAAAGCATTTTGCAAATCCTAAATATAGAAATGGCTAAGTATTATTAAACCCTACCATACTAGAGAAGTAGTATTATTAGACTAAGCCCCAGGACAAAGAGTGATGTTATCTTTTTTTTCCTGCCCCTCTCAGAACACTCACTAGCACAAGGCTAGGCACAGTACTGGTGCTAAACAAATTCTTTGAACTACATTGAAGCCTCCTCTTCCTTTTCCTTCCTCTGCAGGTTGGGAGGCTTCCTGTGACTGGAAGGATGTCCTGTCAGGTGGGGAGAAGCAGAGAATTGGAATGGCCCGAATGTTCTACCACAGGTCAGTTGGGGTTGTGCTGAAGAGAGTGGCTGGGAGCCTGCAGGGCAATGAGGGGTGGGAGGCCCTTGGTATATTGGTATGTCTCTCTGGGGTATCCATGTATGAAAACAACCAAGACAAAAGGACCCAGAGCTTGTTGAAAGGATGCTGAGGCCAGGCCTCAGGCCATTTTGTTCTAGATCAGAGGTTCCCAAACTTATTTGGCATACCGCCCCCTTTTCAAAAAAAAATTACTCAGCACCCCCCTGGAAATATACTTTCTTTAACCCTTTAACTTTTTTTAAAAAATTTGCATAATTTCAAAATAATATAATTTTTTAATGCCACATGTTAAATTTAATAATTTATTGTAAATTTGTGCTTTTTTTCCTGCATTGAAATTTTGATGACACAGTATTGGATCATGTAACCATATATTGTAAACAAGTCATTACACACACATATTCCTGCCCATGCGTGCTGGACTTCCCGACAATGCACGACCCACTCGCCTGCCAACACTTGCTTGTTAAGACCTGTTGGTGGACTTGACCACTGATTGGTTATAGCTTGCATTTTTTGTGTTTATCTAGAAAATAAGGTAATCACTACGACTTTAACTCTGTTACTCAGCAGATGAAACATGTACGAACAGTTTTTCAAAATTTTCTTATCTTCTTTTCTTTCCTTATGCTTCCATCACCCTCTTATTTTTATTCAACGTTCCCCAATTGCACCTGGGGCATTGTTCCAATGCCGCAACCCACCCCGGGGGGGGAGCGGTATAGCCCACTTTGGGGACTGTGTCCTAGAAAGAAGAAAGTGATGAGGGGAATGGGAGAATCATCCCCTTGAGAGAGAGTCCAAGTTGAAAAGAAAAACTGTATTTCAGAATGGTTAGTCTGTCTTCTCAGATAAGAGACAGGGGCAGGGGGGAACCCCAAAGGGTGAGGCCCCATCCCTGTCCTGACGTGGTAGACCTCAGGGTCCCTGGGCCAGGGCCAAGAAGGCTGTGGGCTGGCTCTTGTGCCATTTCCCAGGCCTTTGTGTCCCTTCACCCACAGTCCTGGTCTAGGTGGTTGAGAGTTTGATCCATTTCCTCATTCATGGATGCTTGAGATCAGGTCCTCAGAAGCTTCTTCCTCATTAAAGTGCAGCCCCATAAGAAGCCCTCTTGCCTGTAACACTGTGCTAAACCCTGTGTCGGGCGTAGGGGTGGGGGAGGGGGAGGGGCTACCCAGGGAAGCCATACAACCCAGACTTAGGCCAGTGAGTAAAGAGTGTGTGACAGCACCGAGCCCCGGAAAAGAGGACAGCAATAGTAGCATGTTTGGCTACAGGAAGTTAGCGGAAAAAACAATCTCCTTTGGAATTCCTTCTCCTTAAAAATATCCCAAGGATCTTGAATTTGAGAGTGGTCTGTGCTGTGAAGCTAAAAAGCATTGCCTATACCCAGGAACCCTGGTCTCAGAGCAGAGCCCAGGCCCTCTGTGAGCCTCCCTTCTGCCTTCTGTCTCACTCTGTAGTGGCAGGAGATCTACTGAGGCCAGGCTGAGCAGGAGCCTTTGCAGAGTCGAAGAGATGTTCTCTCTCAGGCAATTCCTTGAGTTCTCCTATCAGCAGCGGAAGAGCTTTGGACATCAGCTAGTCTTTGAAAACCAACGGAGGCTCGGAGCAGTTGGAATTTGCCTAAGACAGCACAGTAAATTATAGAACTAGGATTTTAACCTGGGTCTTGTGACTCTGAATCCTTCCTTCCTTTTGCTGTATCACGGTGCCTCAATCCCTTCCATTTCCAAGTGATAGAAGTGAAGGCTAGAGTAGTTAACTGAGTGACTTTTATAAGGTCCTTCCCCTAGCAGAGATGCACTTGAACTGGGCCCTGAAGGCTGGGGAAGGATTTCTGATGAACATTCCAAGCAAGGGGAACCAATGTGAGCAAAGGTATTTGAGCAGCAATGAGGATGAGAAAGGATTTTTTTTAAGGGGAAGGATGTGTGTTCCTTGTTGTCTCCCCCTTCAGGCCCAAGTACGCACTTCTGGATGAGTGTACCAGCGCCGTGAGCATTGACGTGGAGGGCAAGATTTTCCAGGCTGCCAAGGATGCAGGCATTGCCCTGCTCTCCATCACCCACCGGCCTTCCCTGTGGTAGGTGCCTTCTCCCCAAGAAGGAGCACTGAGCTCCAGGTGCCTTCTACCAGCTGGAGACCCTCTTGGTCTGGCTGGCCCACATTTCTGGTCAGGGCTCACAGTGCCCTACTGAAGACCCAGTCCACATAGGAATCAGTCAGCTGCATGGATAATTGCCCTTTGGGTGGAGGGAACAGGAGATGGGGGAGTTGCTTGCATGAAGGAGATAATGTGAAAGGGAGACAGTACAGAATGGAGGTTCTGGCTTAGGGGTACCTAGCCCAGGACCTAGTGCTCTGGCCCCCTGCCCACTGGCTTCTTCCTGCCCACCCTACAGGAAGTATCATACACACCTACTACAGTTTGACGGTGAAGGGGGCTGGAAATTTGAGAAGCTTGATACAGCCACTCGTCTAACCCTGAGAGAAGAAAAGCAGCGTTTGGAGCAGCAGCTGGCAGGCATCCCCAAAATGCAGCAACGGCTTAGCGAACTTTGTGAGATCCTGGGCGAGGATGCGGACCTCCAACATACTGACCCATCTGAGGCCTCCTGCCCTTGCCCCTGAGGCCCTGGCCTCAGCCTAGACCTGCTTCTGGCCCAGAAGGCCCTCCTATAGCCAAATATCCCTGGTCACTCTTGTCCTGTGTCCCTAAACCCACAGCTTTCCCTAACCCTGTCCCCCTGCCCCACAAATCTCCCCAGATCTCACACAGAAAGCAGTGGGATCTCCTTTGCCCTTCCCCTCCCAAGGAGATAGATAGAACCCTGTGTGGTTCTGGTCCCCCTCCCTCCCTAGGGACTTGTTTCCTGGTCAAGGAGGGGGGGAAGATGGGGGGAGGCTCCCCCCTCAGGATACTCTCCTTAGTGATTGTGCCATGTGCCCAGCCAAGGACCTGGCCTGCCCCAGGTCTGTATTAGCTGGATGGAGGAAGGGGGAGGGGGGCTGGCTGGTAATTAGTAACTGTGAAGTAGATAGCATGTATGTAGCCAGGGTCCTTTCCTTTTCTGGGGGGGAGGGGGGAGGGGGAGTTGGGGTGTTGCCCTGTTTGTTGCAGTAAGTATTCTTGGATGAAGGCAGAGGTTCTGTGCCCGGGACCACTCCTACCACACTGCCAAGCCAAAGTCCTCATAGAAGGCTTGGTATTGCTCACGATCCCCTCTCACTGCTTCTCTTGTCCCTTCCCCTTTCTCTAAAGTGGGAATCTCTCTTCTCTCCCCCCTCTCACCGAGACATCTTCCCATCTGCCTGATTTCCCAGCACCACCCAGTTTCTCTGCCAAACCGAGTGGTCTCGTGGCCAGCTGGGGGCCACTTCCTCAATCTTCTCCAACACCAGTTGTTCCAAAGAGCCCTTGCCCGCCCGCCCCCAAGAGGAAGAGTTGCACAATATTTCCTACTGATGAGAATGTAGTCTTTTCTCTGTCTCTCAATAGTACTATCGTGGTCTTTCTCTTTTTTTTTTAAAGTAATTTATTTGATCCAGTTTTATATTTGTAATGATTGCCAATGTGAGTATTCACCACCAGAGAGATGGGGAGGTAGGGACAGAGGTTAGAGGGAGTGTTCCCTTGCCCAGTTTTGTTGGCGTGAAGGGTTTGATCTGCCCACGTTTTTGTCCATGGTGTGTCGGTATTGGGGGTCGGGGTGGAATGGAGAAGGGGAGCAGGGGACACTGCTCGTGTAGGCCAGTCCCCCCCCAGGTTGTCACCAGTAGCTGTGGGCCCACCCCAACTCCCATTGACACCAGCTAACACTGCCAACTGCCTACCAGCCAACCAGCCAACTCCCCATGCCACCTCACTGAAGTGAGGGACCTAGGGAAGGGGGAAGTATATCCCTCTGCTTGCCAAAACCACTTTACCCCCCCCCACTCCCACCCCCTATGGAGGAGACAGATGCTGTGAAGGGTCCCTTCATTTCTTCCCCTGCCCCTCCCCAATGCCAAAGTGTACTAAGGAGGAGAGATCAACTATGCAAACCCACGCAGTCACTTGTGGATGGAAGTTCAGCAGAAGCCAGGTGCCTTAGCTCTCCTCCTTGGGGCTGGGGGGGAGCTGGGCCCTTCTGTCCTCTCCCACCCTCTCAGTCAGTAAAGAAAATGTGTTTGAAATTCAGTCCCTGCCTCTTTATTTATTTTTTTTTTTGGAGGGGGGAAGGTGTTTCAGGGGGAGTGGATTAAACCTACCTACAGCCTGAGACCTCTGCCCCCCCCCCCCACCAAATCCATTCTAATTTGTTCTCAGATGCAGGTCTCTAAGCACGTGCTGTGTATCATCTTTTGTATATATAGTGGTGTGGGGGCAAGGTAATTTAGTTCTCATTTTAGAAGGGAGGAGGAGGGAGGGATTGAGCGTCTTAATGGGGTTGAGATCTGCTCAGCAGCTATGTAACACTGGACAAATCCAAGGAGAGCCTCCATTTTCTTCTCCATAAAAGGGGGCGGGGCTAGTACCTCTAGTAGCTACCTCTCCGAGTTGCTGTAAGGTGCAAATGAGATAATGGATATCAAGTGTCTTTGCAAACCTGGTGCCATAGACAGGGAAGTGACTTGATTAGCAGAGGGGAAACTAGGTTCAAATTCTACCTGTGACAGTGGTGATTAGGAGCAAGGCTCTGAACCTCAGTTTCCCTGTCTGTAAAGTAGGATCCTCAGTCAGTCAATAAACTATGCGATTGCAGGCACTGTCCTAAACTTTGGGGCTACAAAGAAAGCTTAGAGTCTCTGCCGTTGAGCAGCTCACAGTCTAATGGGGGAGACAATAGGCAAACAAGCTATAGGCAGGAGAAATTAAAAATAATCAGCAGAGGGAAGGCACTAGAATTAAGGGGCGTTAAGAAAAATGTTCTATAGAAGGTGGGATTTTAGGTGGGACTTGAAGCCAGGAGACAGAGATGCACATTCCAGGCACGAGGAACAGCCTGGAGGACCACTGGAGACAGAGCAAGTGTCCAAAGGTGGGAGATGACTTGTGTGAGGAAGAGTAAGGAGGCCAGTGTCATTGGATAGAAAAGTAGGTGGTGAGATGTAAGGTGTAAGAAGACTGGGCAAGGGCAGGTTTTAACAGGCCCCAAACAGGATTTCATGTTTGATCCTCAAGCCACTGAGCTGGGGGGAGGGGGTGGTGATATGGTCAGACCCGTGTTTTAGGAAGATCAACTTGACAGCCAAGTGGAGGAAGAAGGACTGGAAGTGGAGAAAAATCTGAAGCAGGGAGACCCACCAGCAGCTATTGTAATAGTCCAAGTGTGAGGGGTACTACCAGGGTAGTGGCAGTGTCAGAGGAGAGAAGGTGGCATTTTCAGGGGATGTATAAAGGTAAAATTGGCAGCCCTTGGCAACAGATGAGAGAAGGTGAGAGTGAGTAATCAAGGGTGACAGGGAGGATGGGGGGGCCTTGATGGTAAGGGAGGTTAGGGAGAAGGAAAGGTTTGGGGAGAAAGATAATGAATTCCATTTTGGACATGTTGAGTTTAAGATGTCTACAGGACATCCAATTTGAGAATTTGGAGATGCAAGATTAAATCTTTAAAAAGAGGTTAGGGCTAGATAAATGAATCTGAAAAACAACTGCATAATAATGCTCATTGACTCCACAGGACGTGATAAGATCACCAAGTGAAATAGTCCAGAGGAAGAAGAGAGGGCCCAAGGTGGAGGTCTGTGGGACACCCACCTTTAGTGGGCATGACTTGGATGACTTGGAAGGGAGACAGGAGTCAGGTAGGAGGGGAACCAGGGGAGAACCTAGATGTGAGGAGAGAGTAGCAAGGAGAAGAGGGTGATCAATAGTGTCAAGGGCAGCATAGAGGTCAAGAAGAAAGAGGATTGAAAAAGGGCTATTAAATGATTTGGCAATTAAGAGATTTTGAGTAACCTTGGAGAGGGCAGTTTCAATTGATTGATGAGATGAGGTCAGAAGCCAGACTGTGGAGTCAAGGAGTGAGAGGAAAGGGAGTAGACTCCACTCAGTAGAGGCATTTGTTGTAGATGGCCTTCTCAAGGAGTTTAGCCACCAAAGGAGATATGGGAAATAGCAGCATGAATGTATCAAGGGAGCGTTTCTCGAAGATGGGGAAGACATGAGTATGTTTGTGGGCAGGAGAGAAGCAGCTAGTAGACAAGAGAATGAAGATAAATAAGAAAGGGGATGATTAAAAGGGGCAGTTTACAGGACAGGATGGGATGGATCTGTACAGTTAGAGGGGTTTGCCTTGGCAAGAAGAAGGGTCACCTCATTATGTAAGATGGGTGAAGGCATGGGGGTGATGTGAGTGAGGAGGGAGCTGTCATTAAATGTCTTCAAGGGCCCAGCTGAGGTTATGTAACATAAATTTGCAGGGGATCCAATCAGACAGCTTTATAATTTTCTCTACCGTTATTCAACAGTAGAATCTACCTACTTCTTAAGGCTGTGGTGAGACTCCAGTGAAAATGTGAAGCACTTTTTCAGCTTTATACTGTAGACCAATGGTATAAAACATGCCACCGGGAGGGACTCCCTGGTGGCTTGAACCAGATTAGGATGTAATTGAGAAATATTTAACAAAATAAATAAAAATGCAATAAAATAGAAATAATATTACATTTTAAAATTAAGTCACTATGCAAGTGGCAGGTATCCTTCTGTATGGACTTGTGGATTTAAGTTTGGGGTTGCCAAAAGCAGCAATCATCAAAACTGCCTGGTACTGGCTAAGAAATAGAGTGGTGGATCAGTGGAATAGGTTAAATGTGCAAGACACAGTAGTCAATGACTATAGTAATCTACTGTTTGAAAAACCCAAAGACCCCAGCTTCTGGGATAAGAACCCACTCTTTGACAAAAACTGCTGGGAAAACTGGAAAAGAGTATGGCAGAAACTACACATAGATCAAAATCTCACACCATATACCAAGATAAAGTCAAAATGTATACATGATTTAAATATAAAGATTGATACTATAAGCAAACTGGGAGAGCAAGGAATAGTTTACCTGTCAGATTTATGGAGAACAAAAGAATATATGACCAAACGAGGTAGAGAACATCATGAAATGCAAAATGGATAATTTTGATTACATCAAATTGAAAAGTTTTTGTTCAGACAAAGCCAATGCAACCAAGATTAGAAGGGAAGCAGAAAACTGGGAAAGAATTTTTACAAACAGTGTCTCTGATAAAGGCCTCATATCTAAAATATATAAAGAACTGAATCAAATTTATAAGAATACAAGTTCATTCTCCAATTGATAAATGGTCAAAGGACATAAATAGGCAGTTTTCAGATGATGAAATTAAAGCTATCTGTAATCGTATGAAAAAAATGTTCTAAATCACTATTGATTAGAGAAATGCAAATCAAAACAACTCTGAGGTACCACATCACACCTATCACATTGGCCAACATGACAAAACAGGGAAATGATAAATTTTGGAGAAGATGTAGGAAAATTAGAACACTAATGCATTGTTGGTGGAGTTGTGAACTGATCCAACCATTCTGGAGAGCAATTTGGAACTATACCCAAAGGGCTGTAAAAATGTGCGTACCCTTTGACCTAGCAATACAACTTCTAGGGCCGTATGCCAAAGAGATCATAAAAATGGAGGGAAAACCCACACATACAAAAATATTTATTGAGGGGATGCCCATCAATTAGGGAATGGCTGAACAAGTTGTGGTATATGAATGTAATGGAATACTATTGTGCTATAAGAAATGATGAGCAGGCAAGGGACAGCTAGGTGGTGCAGTGAATAGAACTCTAGCCTTGGAGTCAGGAGGATCTGAGTTCAAATTCAGCCTCAGACATTTAACACTTACTAGCTGTGTGACCCTGGGCAAGTCACTGAACCCCAATTACCTCACAAAAAAAAGAAAGAAAGAAAGAAAGAAAGAAAGAAAGAAAGAAAGAAAGAAAGAAAGAAAGAAAGAAAGAAAGAAAGAAAAATGATGAGCAGGCAGACTTTGGAAAAACCTGGAAAGACTTGTATAGACCGATGCTGAGTGAAGTGGACAGAACCAGGAGAACATTGTACATGGTAACAGCCATGTTATGTGATGATTAATATTGATAGACTTAGCTGTTCTCAGCAATGCAAGGATCTAAGACAACTCCAAAAGTCTCGCGATGGAAAATACTATCCACATCCAGAGAAAGAACTATGGAGTCTGAAAGCAGATCGAAGCAAGCTATTTGCTCTCTCTCTCTCTCTCTCGTTTCTTCTTTCTCGTGGTTCTTCCCATTTGTTCTAATTCTTCCTTACAACATGACTAATGTGAAAATATTTAATAGGAATGTATATGTAGAGCCTATATCAGATTGCACTGTCTTGGGGAGGGGAGGGAGGCATAGAAAATTGAAAACTCAAAAGCTTATGGAAGTCAATGTTGAAAACTAAAAATAAGTTAGTTAATTTAAAATTTAAAAAAAAAACGTTTGGAAGCGCCAGTGTATACACTGCTCCTAGATGGATTGGATGCTCTGATTTATTTGGCTTTGGGGGAAGGAGGGGAAGGGAGAAGAAAAACTCTTATTTGGACACTGGAGGTGGGAAAGGAGATGGTGAGTCTCAAGGGAGTGGGAGGAAGAATAGTGGGGAATGGAACAAAACCCGCTGCTACTATAGCCTCACTTTCTCTTACTCACTTTGTAGGTTTGAGTTCCAAGATACTCCTCCAGTTCCCTCTAAGCCTGTAGTTAAATCTGCTGCCACCAGATGGCGTATATGTAATGCGTTTTTTGTTTCTGCCCCACCCACCCATCTACCCGCCCTCTTAACCATAAGACGGTGGAAACATTCATTTATTCACCAATTCATTGGTTTGTTTTGCCGTTTAATCAAGGGGGAAGAAAGTATAAGAAGTGAAAGGGGTTCCTGGGGAGAACAGGTTGGAGAACTGCATTGGACTCCTCCCTGAGTTACCATCCAAGGGGGTAGAAAGCCAAGTCTCAGGAGTCTCAGGCCTCCTTGGGCTCCATTGCACCTGGCTTTGGCTTCATTTGGTTCTGTTGGCAAGGAGTATGTATAGATTTGCCCCATGGTCTGAGGCTTGGGGGGGGGGAGACAGTCACAGGTGAAAGTGATCCAATTCAGTTTAACAAGCTGGGGAATCCGAAGATACAATCAGA